CTAAACACTAATCGCTTTACGCTTCAGGGTTGGGTATGTGTGTACCAATGTGCCTTACGCATTGCAGACGCTCGTGTGCATATACTGCAAACAGTTTATATTGGATGTTCTGGTTGGGTAGCACTCTCTGGTAATCGTGAATGTCTGCCTCTCCTATCTCTGTACTGTGACAGATGGGGTCGTTCGGAGACAGCTTCTCAGGCAAGCCGCGGGAGGATCCCTTGGCCACTTCACTCGCCAGCTGGAAACCGGGTGGTGTTAGTGCTACCGCCACTACAGCCACCGCCTCGGAGCACGCGCCAGGCGTGCCCATGCACCCCGCAAAAGCTACGACCACCACCACTACCGCTACCGGCAATAGCGCTACCTCTACCACCACGCAGACGGGTGGGAAGGTCACCGTGTTGGCAGTACCATCCACACCCACACGCGCGGAGAAGGAGCGAACGGCCAGAAGCAAGGTGCCGCCACCGCCGGTAGTCATAGTGGATCTGTTCAAACAGGGTAAGCGCCAAGAAGGGTGTCTGGATGTGGATGTGCGGCAGAAGGAGGTGGATTGGGTTGGGGGTTTTTTAATGGTTTAATACTAATTATTTATTTACATTTTATTTGTGGATTGGGTTGGGGTTTTTATTGTTTTTATAATATTTATTTATTTATTGTTTTATTTGCGGATGCTTGTAGAGAACGGGAAGCGGGATAAGTATCAATAAGAAGTCTCGATAACAGCGGGTCATGGGACTTTTCTTTATTATGTATATATCATAGTTATAGCTATATATATACCATAGTTATAGCTATGTATATACCATATCGATAGCTATGCATATATCATAGTTATATTTATGTATATACTATAGTTATAGCTATGTATATTAGCTGCGCATATATCATAGTTATAGCTCTGTATATACCGTAGTTATAGCTATGTATTTACCATAATTATAGCTATGCATATACCATAGTTATTGCTATGTACATACCATAGTTATAGCTATGTATATACCATAGTTCTAACTATGTATACACCATAGTTATAGCTATGTATGTACCATAGTTATAACTATGTATACACCATAGTTGTAGCTATGTATATACCATAGTTATGGCTGGTGTATAGCTGCGTACTGTAGTTCTCACCCGAAAGTACTACTGCCTTGACATACAGTGCTGATGTGGCATTTGAAGAAGGCAGAGAAGGACGACAGTTTGTCTCAGTTGGTGGTCAAGGACGATAAGCCGAAGGATATCATTCCGTTGGCGTTCGACAGCTACGCGCACTACAGGAAAACGTTCACTCCGTTTTTGATTGTAAGTGTATTGCGAGAGAGAGAGGGAGTGTGTGAGAGAGGATGTGGCATGGAACGCTTTCGTATTCGGGTGTGCGGTGATATCGGCAGAGATCTATTTACTTGTGGTGACACACATTTATTTCGATGCATGTTTGTGCTCATCAGTTAGTCACTCTCATTGGCTGAACCATCGCCTGCACGTACTGGAACCAAGCAAGCGATGAGCACCCACACAGCAAAGGCTCATGCCATGGCACCACAGCATAGCCTATGTCACTGCCGCAAACAGCTCTCACTGCTTTGTAGGCACGCTTTCACGTATACATCATGGTACCATATTTCATATACCTACACAGCGCATGTTGGTTCTGCCACATCACGTACGTTTGTACCGACCGTTGGTAAGGTTTAGGGGTTGAGTGCTTTCTAGCCTCGCTGAAATCGTTTGTGAAATATCTATTTATATAGAATATATGTACACACACACACACACACACACACACACACACACACACACACACACACACACACACACACACACACACACACACACATATATATATATATATATATATATATATATATATATATATATATATATATATATATATATATATACATATATATATATATTAATATTTATATATATGTATAAAATTTATTCTGACCAACACACACTCCACTCCACGACACACACACGCATACATTCAAACAAACAAACAAACACCGACATACACAAACAAACACATAAATCCATCATGAACGACTCACCTATCGTCTGGCGCGAACTGTTATATATATATATATATATATATATATATGTGTGTGTATATATATATATATATATATATATATATATATATATATATATATATATATATATATATATATATATATATATATATGAATAT